AGATCAGTTCACTTCAATTTTCTGATCCTTCCTTGAATTTAATGGAAATAATTTGGGGTTTTCTCTATGACCATATTCACCAGTGTTCTCTTTCGAGTTTGTTCCTGAAGAGGATCGTATTTAGTTGATTAGTATAATTTCACTGATGGTCTTTGGGTAGAATTTGCTACCTCGCTAAAAATAGTATAATCATATTGTAGTTGTTGAAAATGAATGTTATGCTATTGGTGTATAAATCTTTCCGAATTGTGCTAAGATTATAAGTTGATTGGGAAATTGTCCTGAGTCAACTTTCCTTGAAAATGGGATGTTAGTTCTGTTCTTGTTGACATTCCTTTAAGAAAATTAAGAGAGACTTTGTGCAAGTTTTGGTGGATGTGATTTTCGATTGCTTTATGATTCGAACAATAGAGTAGGGAAATGTTTAGTTTAAGCAAAAGCCAGAAAGGGGAAATGATATGAGGTTTATGAATGATGCAACTTTATTTCTTCTGAAAAAGTTTACGGTTACCATTGATGTTTTTCAAGGAGTTTATTTATTTCCAATAGACCTTTCTTTTGATTTTAGTGGTTGCTATGTCGCCTTTTGTAGCTCTTCAAACCCATGTCTGCCGCGGATGTCCGTTGTAACTTTTGTATCCTGCAAAAGGGCAGTGCAGTTGGATTATATATCAAATTGCTTGAGCAATCCTGGGAGCCAATTGTTTGTAAGATATAGTTTTTTGGAAAGGAGCAAGAATTGTCTTAATAGGCAACCGTTTAAGAAGAAGAAATCGCGGAGGCTGGTACAGCCATTTCTCTTTGCATCTGCTGAAGATGGAGTAGCTGTTAATGGAAATCCCCAGTCAACAAGATCTAGCAGTAGTTTCGGGGAGATTAAGGCCATATTCAGTGGATCACTACAAGACGGAGACAACTATAACGGACTCATCCAGCCTTTGCATGATGCTGCCAGAACTATTGAATTGGCAGTGAAAGATAATATTACTCCGTTCAGATTTTCTTGGTTTCCAGCTACTTGGTTGCGTGCAGATAGAAATGCGTGGGTGAAGACTCTTTCGTATCAGGTCCGTGCCTTTTAATTATACTATCCTATTTTACGACCAATCCATGAACCATGATGGTGTTCCCACTTGAAAACAAAGTATTTCTTGTGAATGTTTTGTCTTCAATATGCTCAATTCATCTTTTATGTTGCACAGGCTTCTCTGTACTCCTTACTACAAGCGGTAAATGAGATTTCATCGAGAGGAAATAACAGAGACGAAGATGTCAACGTCTTCATTCAAAGGAGGTACTGCGTGAGTTACTTACTGAATCTGGAATTTGACATGAATCCAAGTTGTTGATACGTTTGTGCTCCTAAAAATTATCTCAGCTACCTCCTTGTCAAGAGATCAGATTTCTTTTAATTGCTAAATAGTTATTTGAAATAGTTAAGCTATCTATGCAACGCTAAGTTAGCTTTCTGAGTCAGGCCATCTCCTTCAACTAATCTAATTCCTAATGAATCTCAGCAAGGCTATGTTAGCTAGTGAACACAAACTTTCTAGCCTTGGCAGGAAAATTAGCAGTAAGTTTGTGTGAGATTTCCAGTGGTGTGGCTGCGTGGTATCTATTTCTTGCATATTCTCATGAGGAATCTTCTTTCATCAATGTTTGAAATCTTTCTGGTATTGGTTGTTGCTATCTAACACTTAACCTTTAACTTTTTTCATTTTTTGCTTATGTTTAAATTTTGATATTATACAGCTTAGCACGCCAATCTGCTCCCCTTGAGAGTATGATGCGGAATGATTTATCTTCCAAACATCCTGAAGCCTATGAATGGTTTTGGTCCGAGCAAGTTCCTTCTGTAGTGACATCTTTTGTGAATTGTATTGAGGGGGATCAACGATTTGTTGCTGCCACTTCTGTGTATGTTTTCTCATCTTAGTTGTAAGTACTGTGAACCACAAGTTTAAATGTGATATTTGAGAAAGTAACGATGCTTTACGGTTCATTCCAGCTATGCAAAAGGAAAGTCATCAGCTACAAGTAATGAGATTGAGGTGTCACTTCTCATGCTTGTGCTCAACTGCATTGCAGCAATCACGAAACTTGGCCCGGCAAAATTTTCCTGCCCTCCCTTTTTTTCTATGATTCCAGATACAACTGGAAGATTAATGGAAAAAGTTGTAGACTTTGTTCCACTACCTCAGGCGTATCATTCAATCAAAAGCATTGGCCTACAACGAGAATTTCTTATTCATTTTGGTCCTCGCGCAGCAGTGTTCAGAGTAAATGGTGACTTTGCTACAGATGAAGTTGTTTTCTGGGTCGATCTTATACAGAAACAACTGCAGCGGGCTATAGATCGGGAGAAAATATGGTCAAGGTTAACAACATCTGAAAGTATAGAGGTAAGGATTACAATTGTCACAGTGGACACATCTAAGCAGCTTTTAGGCTTCTTGTGCAGTGCTTATATTTATGAATATCAGGAACATTATAGCCTGTCTAGACTAATATACGCATCCAATTCCATGTCAAATATGTTAGATATGAAAGTATAGTGCTCTTTTGAACATGAGAAAGTGGTACAAACAGTTTACAGTGATTCCAAGTTTCTTTTTTGGTAAAAACCAGTGATTCCAAGTTTGCAACGGTTTTACTGAGCACTAAGATTCTTGGCTGTGTACTTGTATCTAAATCTTCTGGAGTTAATTGGGACCTGTCCGTGCCTTGCAGGTTTTGGAGAGGGATTTAGCAATTTTTGGATTCTTCATTGCCTTAGGCAGGAGCACACAGTCCTTTTTAGTTGCAAATGGTTTTGATTCTCTGGAGAATCCTTTGGAAGACCTTGTTAGGTAACTTTCACTTTTTCACCCTCTTTCTTCTATTCCCACTAACTTTTGTAGATTTGTGTGTTGCTTATCACACTCTTGACTTATTCTTTAATTCAGGCATCTAATTGGAGGCAGCATCATGTACTATCCTCAACTTTCAGCCATCAGTTCATACCAGTTGTACGTAGAGGTAGGCATAAATCAAATCGTCGGTGGAAAGTTTCTGAGACCATTTTGATGTCTTATCATGGAATTTTATAGTGTAGGTTGTTTGCGAAGAATTAGAATGGATTCCTTTCTATCCGAACCATACAGGCGCACAGCCTCCAAAACAATCGCATGGGCATAAGAGCAAACCAGAAGTCCCACCTAACTATGAAGTTATCCCTCAGGTGTTGGATGTTTGCTCTTATTGGTTACAGAGTTTTATTAAACACAGTAAATGGCCAGAGAATCCTTCTAATGTCAAAGCAGCAAAATTCTTATCTAAGGGGTATTTGACATTTTTGTTTACTCAGTATTTGAATAATAAACAAAGTTATTATCCATCGTGGTGACTTTCTTTCTTAATGTTTAGGCACAAGAGTTTAATTAGGTGCAAGGAAGAACTGGGGATATCAAAGTGAGATAACAGAAACCCCTCTCTCTGATCTTTCGTTCATGCCTGCATTCGGAAAATTACTTTCGTGCTTGATTGGTATACTGCACTAATACTTGAGAATGCATAATAGTATTATCTGTGAGAAAATACTTCAAGCAAAATTCAGAGCAAATGTCTCTGACATTTTACAATCTGGCGTTGTTACTATATGTCGTTTTGGAAAGCATCCTTGACAGTCATCTCTAGGAACTTTAGACAGACTGCATTTTAATAACGTGTGATGCAGGATGGAAGTAATGAAAACCAGTTTTTTTTTCAGGAATGCATCATCAATCGATAGAGAGTCGAACTCATTTGACAAGGTTGGTCATTGGTTTACTGGGAAAGACCGCTGTACTCCGTACACTACTTGAATCTGATTCCTGTTAAAGACTGTTGTCATATTGTCTACTATATATATCCTAACAGTACATAGTCCCCAGGCCTTAGAAAGTGTAGATGAGGCCCTCGTGAGGCTGGAAAGCCTGCTACAGGAGTTGTATGTATCAAACTCTTCGTCTGGAAAGGAACAAATAGAAGCTGCTTGCTCTGACCTAGAGAAAATGCGGAAGCTTAAGAAAGAGGCTGAATTTCTGGAGGCAACTATCAGAGTCAAAGCAGCTTCCTTGCAACAGGTTTTTATTTTTCATTGTCATTTTTTGTTTAGATCCTGCAAAAATTTGAGTATGATATAGAGTATGATATATCTCAATGGTAGATGGACCAAATCAAACCAGTTGTATCCCTCTTTAGGCGGTGTAGCATCAGTCTCACTATAAGATGATAAAAACAAAAAAAAATTGCAAAATGCATCTTGTGTTCATAAATTTGTGTGGGAGACTAAAACCTCATATGGTTAACTCAGGGAGGTGATAGCAATGATTCTCAGGAATCCTACGAGGTACAAAAACGGTATTTTAAAGGCAAAGACACAAAGAATGCAATTAGTTCTGAAGATCGAGGCAAAAGGTATGCCACATACTGCTTAGTATTATTCTTCTGCACGCTTACCTTGTTAATTTGAACTATATAAGCGTGGCATCTCTTTTGTTACACTCTGGTCATAATGACGTATTTGTTGTTTCCCTCTAAATTAGTATGAGTCGTGGATTCTGGGGATTCTTTGTACGGCCTCCCAAGAGGAAGCCTGGTCCTGAATTATCGGTAAGCTCCATTTTTTGAAGACTCTTCTGCGTGGTACTCTGTGTTTGTTCAGTCAATTACTTAGTATATGCTACTATTTGGTTTTCGTTCAATTTGGAGATGATGCATTTAAAGTACAGCCATTTCCAGTCTAGCACAGATAAAGGTTTGAGGACTTCTTTTACCAGATGCAGGAGGATGAATATATTGGGAAATCCAGTGGAAACTTACTTAGCCTGGACTCGGAGCCAAATGAGATCAGTCGATTCGAAACTCTAAGGAACGAACTGATAGAACTGGAAATGCGGGTCAAAAGAAGCACTGATCAGTCAGTAGATGAGGAGGTTAGTAACCAGCTGCTGCTGCAAGATTTTCGTAACAGTAAAATGCTAGTTTCAATAAGGCATTCGTTTCCGCTGAAGTTAAATAAATTTACCTTAAAGGAAGTTCTGACACATTTACGATTCAGTGAGTTTCGCTTTGATTAATTGATGGTTATAAAAGAGGACTGTTGACAGTCCTCCTCATGCAAACTATCGGTTTAGTAAGTCAAACCATGTATGGTGAATAATACCATACTAGGTTAATTCTATGTTGTGCTCTTAGCTCTGTTACTTTCAAGTTAAGCTTCTCAACATGGTAGAAGATGCCCAATCAACTCCTTTTTAGTAAAATGAAATGTTGGGTCTAGTGTCTGTTGTGTCACCATATCCAGATTCCAAGTGTTTATTCATATTCGGCAGGATATAATCTCTAATAAGGTTCCTCCTCAATCAAGTAGTAGAACGAGAAATGTTCAGTTGGTTCCGACTCCGAAGATGGAAAACATGATCGAGAAAACTCTTCACAAGCTAAGAGAAACCACCACGGTACCGATAGCTCCTCTAAAGACTAAAGCTATATGGCGTGCTTCTGTGTCATCGGATCATTGTCGTTTCCTCCGTCAGACTTTTTTGCTTTTTTCTATTTACAGAACGTGTGGCAAGGCACTCAGCTTCTTGCAATTGATTCAGCAGCTGCGGTGGAGTTACTGCGGAGGTCTCTGATAGGTGATGAATTAACAGAAAAAGAAAAGAAAGCTCTGCGAAGAACCATGACTGACTTGGCATCAGTTATTCCCATCGGTATTCTAATGCTTCTTCCAGTAAGTAAAAAAAAAATCCTTACAGAGAAGTTTCTGCTCACTTCTTTTACTTATTCTGATCATGTCATACATTTTGTCTGAACTATTCCAAGCTTTATCTTTAATTAGCCGCTTTGTACAAACCTGTGAAGTCAATCACTGCAGTGTGAACATTTCCTATTCACAAGCTCTAATTTCTAGTGTATGAACTAATATAATGAGTAAGCTATTTTGAACAGGTTACAGCAGTTGGTCACGCAGCCATACTGGCTGGAATTCAGAGATATGTGCCAGGCCTGGTACGCACTCCTTCTCTGTACTTATATTCTTCTCTATATATAGATTCATCAGCATTTAGGACCACCTCTTTGAATCAATTCCGATATTATATGTCTTCATTCAGATTCCTTCTACGTACGGTTCCGAAAGGTTGAACCTATTGAGACAGCTTAAGAAAGTCAAGGAATCGCAAACAAATGAAACTGAGCCCGAAGAAGGCATTGAAGAAACAGCATAGCAAGCAATATACACATCTACCTCTTTTCACTTTGTTCGGTAATTCATTGCCAGTAGCTGCGCGTAGAGAATCTCATTCCATGTATCAGGCACACCGGGTAAGCACCAGTGACTGCAATCTTGAGGAGCATCTTCAGGAGTTCCCGGTTCTCGATACCGCGAAGGATGAGCATCTTTCCTGAACTCGGTCAGATATGTGATGTTTAGAAACTTAACCTTACTATGTTCATATCTCATTTCTTGGATTACTTCAGAGATATAATTGTTGTAGATAGGGTCAGGTTCCATCTTTTTCATATCAGTCTCTGGCTCTGTCTCTGCATCACACAAACCACCCAAGTTCCAAGTCCCATTCCTACAACACCCAAAAAGCTCAAACCTGGTCAAAATTCTAAAGACTTTTGTCTGATTTTTTCATCTTTGATTGTTCTGAAACAGACCTGTAATGCACAGGAGAGAAGCTTCTGAAGAAGACATGACACTCCTCCGAATCAAGTCTCTCTAAAACCCAAGACTTCCATGTCTTTAAAGACTTCCCAAATCCCTCCATAACTCCCATTGTCTTCTTCAATTTACCACCCTCCTGAAAATAGCAACCACTGCAACAACAAACAAACAAGAAACCGGTAAGAGTACTCATCAATCACCTTTCTTGTTTCTAAAATGTTGAATTCAACAGGAAGCATTTTACGCGTTAAAGGTTTTGTCTTCACTCCACCAGTGTCCTGTATTGAAGACCAGAACATCAGACCCGACCCATTTGTTCGATTGCCAGTTAAACTCATCGACTCTAACCGTCATTTTGACATCTTCCAGGGAGTTCTCAGGTGGCCGACCAACAACGACCAGAAACGGTGTTCTATGATATTCCACGGTTAGATTCTGTCCCGGAAATCGCATTGAAAGGAAACCCTTATGCTTGCTTATAGGGTTCCCATTCACTTCATATATCTCAGATTTATTAGACACTGCTTGTGAAAGCATACACAAAAGTGATTCCCATTGGTTTCTTCCGATGGAATCTCCGACGAACACAATCCTCCCGTTCCGACTCCTCTCCAGAAAATCACTTGCGTTGAATCTATAATCATTCCACACCAAGTAAACAAAGTTGAACAAATAAAGTTAAACAAGTTGAAATTGATTGGCGCGAGATTCACAAGTAAAGGTTTAAAGTTTCAACCTTTAAGCCACCAAAGCAATTTTAAAGTTGGATTTTTTCTTTAATATTAAACATCGTTTTTTAGAAGCATTAATTGTAAGCCTAAAACTGATCTAAAGGATGAATGAATTGCTTGTAACCATAATTAAGCCATAAAATGTTTGTTTTAATCCATACTAATACCTTAAGCTCCAAGCAAATTTACGTAAGAGAGTGACAATATCATACCGTGGAACATCGCAGCCATGTGGTTGCCATCGCCATTGTCGAAAACCAGAATCTTTTCTTCCATTATTCAGACAACGAAAACCAGGATCCAGAAACCGACACTCTTCTCCATAAGAGCTTTCGTCTACGTCACGTCTACGTACCCATCTTCCATATGAATAGTCACATACCTCGTCGTTTCGTTCTTCCTTCGTTAGGGTTTTCGATAAGAACCCGAAACAGAAATGAGGCTCGAAGCCGGCAAGATCGACGACGACGACGGAGAATATTAGAAAGGTGACGAGAAGAGAGATTCCGACGAATATATGTTTCTTGATCTTGAAGGTTAT